TGTTTTATTTTCAAAGCAGCTCAACTTACTCCTACTAGACAAGGTGATATTTGTTAAGTTTTAAAGAAAGCATTAAAATTTTGGGAACAAAATGGCTAATAATAATCAAAAAACCGATAAATTGATAAAATATCAACACTTAAGTGATGACAAATACAAAAAACTTAAAAATCATCTAAGAGAAAAATAGAAATATATGTTAATTAATTAGTTAACTAAGTTACACAAAGCCTCAGCCTTGTTAACTCATCATCAGCTGAATATACGCATCTATACCCAACTCGTCGGCCACTTTTGTGTGACATTTACGGTAAATGATGTAGTAACTAAGACGACTGAAAACTATACATGGTTTAAATTAAACAACTACAGGATAGTTTAAAAAAAAAAAAGCTGATGTTGCCTCTAAGATATTATTTGGCAAAGCATTCCAGCCACTTTATGGTTGTTAAAAAACTTATGTCTGACTTCGAAGGTCACGACTACTTATCTACCGATGTTATAAAACTTGCCCAAAAGTGACATTGAATCACGGATCTCTCGCTTCTGAGGCAAGCGCGCTAACGTAAACTTAACTAACTAACTAACAATATTATCGCACTTATTAAACAAACTTATAAATAATTTGATTTAAATATATCAAAAACTATTCAAGCGCGGTGTTTTTATCTGACACAGGAATTATGAAAGATTTTATCTGACAATGAATTATGAAAGTAGATTACAGTTAATGAAATTAACAACAATAGAAGAGCGTCGTTTACAAAGAGATGTAATTTTTCTATATAAAATACAGAAAGATTATGACTAGAATAACTAGATAAACGACTTAATATGTAAGGTAGAGTGGGGCATATAGAGACACTTAAGAAACAAATGCTAGTTGCGGATAAAGTAATCATAGTTAACACTGTTTTTTATAAATTTCCTAAAATTCATTGATATAGGAAAATAAAAAAACAAAAAAACAAAATTCTAAAAATAAGTTATGACAACCAAAGTAACAAAACTCTAGACTAGTAAAACTTTTACATTTTCCAAGTAAGTGGGGCAAAACGGGACAGTTAAAAAGCATCAGTTATTCGTTAATTGTAAAGTTTTTTAAAATGATGAAAAATGAAGGCTATTTATTGCTTAAATATGTTCAGCTATTAAACTTTCAAAAAAGTAACATATCCATAAAAACTACACGCCCATACACCCATACACCACAAAAAAGAAATAAAAGAAAATATTTTTTTTTGTGTGTTTTATTATAAAATACCTCCACTTTACTCTAACCTATATATTATTAAATTGGTAATTGCTTCTAAATTTGAAATTAAGCAAAAAATTTTATGGATTACATAAATCACAAAAGAATATCCTGAAACTGTTCGGCAACATTTTTGATGAGCTGGCTTATTAGCAATAAGCCAATGTAGATCAAACTGAAATACGCCATATGTATCAGCAGCTCTTCTAGTTCTAATTTTCTGTTTACTCACACTAAAACTGAATTTCATCCCGTTTTGGATGATTGATCTTTCTTATATAATTTCTTACCTTCTCTGCTTACATTAAACACTAATAATCATTGAAGTTAAGTTATAAAAATAAGAAATTCTTTACTTGCTAAAATTGATTCCAAATAAAAAAAAAAAACAAGACTTTAAATTAAAAATAAAATTATCAAACTGTAAACAGCATTGCGAAATGGTAGTATTATACTCATTTATATAAATACTAGTGTTGTCCCGATATGCCCCACAAAAGTCAATTTACTGAAAATAATACTATTTAAAAAGTTCAATTCAAAAAAATTTTTAATCAGATTCTAAAAGAGGATAAAAAAAACTGTCTGAAAAATATAATTTTTTTATAAATAAAGCAAATTCGCAAGAGTTCAAGATAAATCTTTTGTCTTTGTATCGCTTAAGAAAATACGCAAATTTTGTTTTTTGCAAACTTACTGATGCATTTTGGTATTTTTAATGCATTTTTGTATTTCTAAAATCAAATTTTTTTTACAATAATAAAGCACAATAATTTAAAATGATTTATCAAAAAAAAAATTTTGAAAAAAAGTTCTTTTTGAGTGAGATATAAGGCTTCAGGCATAACTGTCCCGTTATGCCCCGCTGTTCCGATATGCCCCACTCTACCCTAAAGCTAGATATAATTACTTTTCATGTCGAGTTGTAGAAGCTTGGAATGGTTTACCGCCATATATTATAGAATAAATAATAATTGATCAATTCCAAAATAAACTTGATATATCAAACTATTGCAAAAATTATTTATTAAATAACACTTCATAAAGATTATATACATTAAAAAGTAAACAATTACAAAAACAATTTTAGCTGCTATAGCACAACATCTTCTGTTAATGTGCTCTACAATTGATTTCATCAATTGTCACAGTGTATATTATTATCATTATTATTATATATTTTTTTACTGTTTTGCGCATATGCATCTTACTGCACCGCCGCCCAACAAACTTTTGTTGCCCTATCCCACCTCTCATTAAACTTTTTGCCACGCGATGCGCAGTTTTCTAAATATTTAAATTGTCTAACTTGCCCCTAAGCTTAACTAGCCCTGCTCGTCAACCGTTTTTTTTAACTATACTTTTTTAGATTAAAACCCTGACACTAAATTCAATACACTATTTACCAAATCTCTGACACTATGATAAAAAGGCTCTGATTGTTCTCTAAAAGAGTTTTTATCTACCGATTATTCTCTGAAAGAATTTTTATCTACTTTGCTAAATATTACAATTAAATCACCCTCGTCTATTACTAATTGTCTTTTAATGTAATAACTGTTTGAGATAATTGTTGTACTTTATTAGATTATTTATTATATAGTCGTTGCTTTTTTATTTTTATTAAAATCGGAACTCAAATGACTAATTTTCTGATCATAATCTATTTTAGGTTGATGAAATCATTCTTGTATTAAATTTGAAATCAAAGATTATTATATTAATGAACTATTTTTTGAAGTTTATAGAAACATATGTATATATATAAATAATGTATATATAAAATATAATTTATATATAAATTATATAATATATTTATCCACACCGAATTTGTAATTTAAGTTTTTATAAGATCTTATTTGTCATTCCACTTCTTATAACATTCGAATTTGTAATCAGTAAATTATATTTTAGAACTATGTTTGTATATCTTTTATATATATATATACATATATATATATATATATATATATATATATATATATATATATATATATATATATATATATATATATATATATATATATATATATATATATATATATATATATATATATATATATATATATATATATATATATATTATATAATATAATATCTTTGAAAACTTGATTAAAAGTATTTTAAGATTTATGAAACTAGATTCTAGTAACTAGTTCTAATTCAATTCAAATTCAACAACAAAAAAGAGAGCTCGTTCCTAAACTGTTTTTTTTTTTGATACATATTTTTTATTTTGAAAATTGTAATAGTAATTTATTGTTTCGCTTGGCAAGCAATGCTTTATAAACGTGTTTTATTAAGTTATTTATTTTAAATAGTTTTTAAACATTTCTGGTATTCTGTCGGCCTAGTCTGCAACAGCATGTACTTTATACACATATAAATGATATATTAATTTCAGCACAGTAAACAAGGTACACAGTATAAAAATCTGGCTACATGTACTAACTTTAAAAGCTTTAACTGCGATGTACTAACTTTAAAATCATATTGGTAACCAATATAGTTTAGAATTTAGTATATATGGACAACTAAATATGAACTAATTCTAAACTTAAATAGTTTAAAAATTAGTAGTTATGGCTGTTGGCTATCTGAAACTAAACTTACATTTGATATGATCTAAATGCAACATTTTTTGCTTTAAAACCGTAAAAATGTCTTAAACTTACTAAACTTTTAACTTACTTGACGAATCCACATCGATAATCCACATCGATAATCCACATCAATAATCCACATCGATAATTCTAATTCCTCTTTTTTTTTCTTTTTTTTTTCATAAATTTTTTATGTGATAACAGTTGTTTAAAAATAAAAGAAATGCAATTAATAATATAAAATGCTAGTTTAATAAATAATATACAGTAAAATGGTTTTGGGAATTCACTAAAAATTAAGTGAAAATTAGAAATTACAAGAAAGATACAACAAAAAAATCCGCGCGATTTTATTATATTTTCTTAAGGCACTTCAAAAGCTATTAATTAGTTATATTTTATGTCTTGTGTTTATTAGTTATGTTTTGTACTTCACTTTACTCGACTATATTTTACTCATATCTTATTTTTTTAAATTTTGCTGGAGAAAAAAATCATTAAGTTAGCAAAAAACGTGTTAAAACAACTATTACAAGTTTCTATGAAACTCTAATAGTTGTTCAACTCAAAATATCATCAGGTGCTTTTTCGTGCAAAAAATTGAACGTTAATCATCTTATTTGCCCAACAATAGAGTACAAGTTTAACTTGATCCAATTTTTTATTTACTATATATGTTTGTTAACTATATATATTTTTATTTACTACATATTTATTTATTCATAAACGAGATCATTATAACCTTAATTATGTAACATACAAAAAAAAAAACTGTATGCAACCTTAAGGCAATACTAGTATACTTTTTTCCCTCTTTTGGTTTTATTTTTTTTTTTAATCTGTAAGAATAAAAAAGTTAAAATCAGTAACATAGTTTAATGATGAATTTATAACCTAAGTTACTTGTCGATTTCAACTAAACAATGAAATATATAAAATAATGGAAATTAATCTACGGTTTATTAGTGTGATAAATATATTAGATGATTTAAATAAGTAAACATTCCATAAAACCTTTTACTTTGTTTGTAAGATTATTCGATTTAAAATTTACTTTTTTTGCTTATGCGCAAATAACTTCCATACAACTAAGTAAATTTCAAGTAAAATTTTTTTAAAAAGTCTAATAAAGATTACTCAGTTTTTTTACTTGCTCTGTAAAAACTCACCCTTGCATGCCCTTTTATGGAGTCTAAACTTTTCAAGGTTCAAAAAGAAATCTATTGTATATTGATGGTCAGAAATCAGGGGGTAAATATTTCAAGTAAATAAAAAAATATAAAAGCGAACGTTAATCAAGAGAAAATAGTTCTTTGCAAAAAGATACAACTACTTACCTAAAATTCAAAAAACATTACAAGTGTATATATAAAAGGTACTTTTTATTTAGTTTGTAATTCTCAAAACCTAACGTAGTGTAACGTAGCTTTCATATTTTAAGTCTTCATTTTAACTTTTCATTTTCCTTGGTAAACTATTTTTTATTTTTTATGTTTTAACATTTTAAGTCTGAGCAATAACAATTTAATTTCAATTTAAATTTATAAATATAATAAATATTTATAAATATTATAAATATTTATAAATATTATAAATAGGATGTCTTTCAAAATATTGCAAATATCGGTTCTATAGTGTTAGGTTACGCAAAAGATTTACAAGTTGAAAGCACTTAAAGAGATAATAGTTTGAAATGAAATTGATAATAGTTAGAGCTTAATTATTAAATAGTTTTTTCATATAAATAGATATGTTACACAAAAGTCTCATCATCCTTGTGTATTTTTTTGGTGTTGTTGCCCCCCATTCTTGGATGAGTTGTCCATCGTAAGATTTTATTACTAATTATAATATGAGTAGAAAGATATTATTTTATTTTAAAAAACATACTTCTATAAACATCTGTTTTTTAAAACTTTTTAGTTCGCTTCTGATGTCACTTGGGAGAGGAGGAGTACAGAGCAAAGCTTGTGATGGCAATCCTGAGTCTGATTTAGGTAAAATTTTACTCCCTTTTGCAATTCTAATGACATTTATTACAAATTTAAAATTTAGTTTATTTGATTAAACTTAATTAACTTGTACTTTTTTTTTGAATTTTAGTTCCTGTAACACAATTGCAGGCCGGAGATAGATTGAAGGTTAGACATTATTTACACATAAAATAGTATTTTAAGTATTTATACTCATACTTTCATAAATTATAATTAATGATTTTTATAAAAAAAAGGCATTTGTTTTATTTAATAAATATATTTTTGTTTTTATGCATAGCTATTTTTAACATGTCATGAAAAATTTTACATTTGTTTAGATTGGATGGCCTTCAAACAACCACGCTGGTGGTTACGTTCGTTTGTCTCTTGTTTCGTTAGGTCAGCATACTTCAGAAAACTTTCAAAAAAATGTTCTAAAATTTGTGTGCTACGGTAGTGATATGCGAGTTAATAATATAAAAGCATCAAAATATGGCGACTGCTATCATCCATGTAATGCAAGACCAGGGTGTGAATTTCAATCAGGTAAATGTATTATTGCAAAAAAATTATAAAGGTTAGAATTAATATAAAATATTAAAAGTAAGTCGAAGGTAATAAACTCTCGTTAAAAATTTATTATATATATACTTATATATATAGTTAATTATATAAGTTACAACATTCCATTTAGGGATTGTAAATTTACTTGTCATAATTTTTGAACACTAAAACTAAAAATTGAAATTTAAAGGTTGTTGAAAAATTAATATAAATTTAAATATGAATATAAATTTAGCCTTGAATAATAAACTAGTAGTTTTTTGTTCTCAGACTTCAATCACAACTTTGTTCTCAGGCTTCAATCATAACTTTATTATTTTTTACTTAGATTAAATTATTATTTTGATTTTTGAAACATTGTTAAAGTCATTTTATTAACTGTCACCAGTTTATTAAATTTATTAAAATTTTACATATTTGTGTCTAATCCGACCACATGACAAAATTACGGAATTCTACATTTTTAATTTTATTTTAAATTTTTTTGCTTGTTGGTTAAAAAAATATTTGTAAGTGAAAAACTCGAGTAATAAATCATAATACTGTTTGACATATGCTTCTAGTTTCCTTATATACTAAAACAAATACTCTGAATGAGATATTGCTCTAAAACGTTTGCATATTAAATATACCCTAAATTGTTACTTTTTACACAGAAAGCAATGATTGCGAACGGTACGATACTACCATTGGAATTCCAACTAATTTAAAGGACGGTGATTACGTACTACAAGCTGCTATGTTAGTAGGAAATTCAGAAGCCCCTTATTACAGTTGTGCACGGCTTAAAATCATCGGAGGAAATCCAAGTTTTAATTGTTTTTCTAAAGAAGATCCAATAACCTATTCATGTTTGAAATCCAACGGTCCAGCTCTCGAATCACATTTTCTTAAAACAGGTTCATTTTACCTTTAGTTTATTACTTATTTAGTTAATCATCGTCCTGTAATATTTTAAAATGAATTTTAAGTTATGCTAAATATAGATATCAATACCACTTATATTATTAAAGAATTATACCAATATGGCTACCGTGTCTGTAAATGCTCTTGTGAACTATAAAATTCCCCTAATAATATTTTTCAACGCAGTAAAAAATGT